AATACCATAGTGGGTACTGACAGAGCTAAGGGGATGCTGCTGGAGTTCAAGAACTTTATCTATATTCCTGACTAGTAGCTAGACTTGCCTTGCCATCAAAACAGATTACATAATTCTTGTCTTTTATTATTTTAAGATGAAAAAATAAGACTTGTAGCAGACCTAAAAATAACCTACATTTATTAAATTGGTTTCTCATCATAGTCTCATTAAATGTAAATATAGAAAGTATTTTCTTGTGTAAAAAGCAAACATCTATTCCACCTCATTCTCTTTTGATTACATGGTCTCTGCCAATGGATCCAACGCAGGGTCTGCCTGCATGCTAGACAGTCAGCCCACTGCTCAACACAGAGCAGCAGCCCTGGTGTTCAGTAGTCTTTACACGCCTCCTGCCCAGCACACCAATTAACAGCGCTGTTCATGGAGCATCAGCATTGTTGATTGGAGCACTGGGCAGGGTAGGTGTGGGACTACTGGAGACACAGGCTGTTGTGCTCTCTTTTGAGCAGCTGTCTAACGCTCTAGCATGCTGCTAACACAAGGTGTTTTAAGCCTTCCTGCAGCAAATATGACGGTTAAAAAAATAAAGCCCTCACTCATCACTGTTCTACATTAATAATTGAGAATGTCAATTGGGTGGTAAAGGCAGAATCTCTAACTTGGCATTTATTTTGAAAACAAGGGCATTACAGTCCTGTAGATGGCAAATACCACAGCTTCATAAAATATTGACATCGGTATTGAAGTCCCTTAATCATGAATTCAACCCTGGCAAATATATACACACATACTGTATGTCACTTCACTTTTTTATTTTCAAATCTCTTGGCTCAAATCACTTAAGATTGGCTAATGCTTTTGGTTGACAGTACAAATAGGCTCATCTTAGGAAGAACAGACCTGTTGCATCCTATCATTATTCTCGGTACCATTTGTGATCTAACCACAGAAAAATAATACAAAGTGATTTATTTCAAATCTATTGCTGAAACTATTATTTTGTTGCCTTATTGGGTTTAGATTTGAATATTCACACACAACTGGTAATGGTACTTGGACATTCCTGTGTCATGTTCATGTGGGATTCTGCATTTAATGTTCAGCTAAACCCAGTTCATGCTTTACGGGAAAATTCCCACATTTGTTTGTGATTATGGAGTAATAAACACTTCTAATAAAACACTTCAGAACTGTTGTACTCTGAGAATTGCTATACTGTGCCTCTGTCCATGGTGCTGAAGCATGAAGCTCATTCAAATACACTGCCACACAGACAAATGTATCTGCAGGACATTGTACATGCTAACATTTTCAAGCTAACTAGACCTCATTATCAACGTTGTCCACTGCACTTTGAGAAAATGTTTTGTGTATGCGCTAGTAAGTATGCGCCATACCAATTTTTTAAGTTTCAGTATGTCTGGTGGCTACCACAACATTCTGGGTCTTGCAGCAATATGTATTCTAACAATCCGACCAGAATTTTTAGAAAAATATTTCAGGTAAAAAAGAAAACAATGCAAGTAGGTCACTTAAACAAAGAAGTATTTCCATTGTCAGACATAAGGTTAAACAAAAACCTGGCCATGAAAGCTAGCATTCTAAAAGTAGAATAAGCAATGCCTTTTGAGCAGCATAAGGAGAGTGATGGGTAAAAAATGGGGACCCAAATTTATAGCAGCCCAGTCAAGAATATAAAATATTTTAACCAGCATCCTTCTGGAAAATAGTTATTTGTCTACAGAGTTCCATTTCAGTCCTTTGCTCTTTCAGAACCAGAAGTACCACAGTTATATAATACCTCTGAGTGTATGTCTCCCGCTGGGTGCTGTAGTTTCCCCATCACACACCAGGATACAGTCATTTCAGACAGCAGGAGGAACCACAGTGCACACAGGACACGCCATCCCACACACCTGGTAGTGTTTTACAGCGGTGGTGCCTGTAGCTCTGCAGGAAAGCAAAGATGAAACTTGCTACCTTCCCCTGCTCAGCTAAAAAGAAGTTTTTATTTCTGCCTGTGTTGCTCTTGGAGATTCCCTCACTTCCTGTCTGGAAAAATGTTGTCAGCAGCACAGGAAGTGAGGGTAAATCACTCTAGAAGTGCCCAATCTATCCAAAAACAAGAAAAAAAGGTTTGGATGAAAATCTATTTAGACTGCATTATATACTGTATGATGTATTTTCTCAGTCCTCTTTCCAGGGTAGCACATAAGAGAGTGTGACTCCAGCCACTAGAGGCAGGAAGCAGATATGCTCACCAGTTATTTTATGTCCACTTTCTCTCCCACCTCTTCCAGGAGTGCAAGTAGGCTCTTATAGGGATGTCAACCGCCTCCTGTGCTTGCCCTACCTATCTACTTGACTACAGTGTGGGCCATCTGTCTTTTCCTTTCTTCTAGCCCCCTGATCTGCCCTCTGTATGGGTGAAGACGTTGTCTTGGGCCCACTTTACAGATTCAGGCTTCTGTAACATAGGTAGAGGGGGCAGGCTTGTGGTAGGCCCTTTGGGTTTTAGTTTGAAGAGCCACGCAGACTCCAAAATCTTTTATCCTCTAAATAGGCTGTTGCACTCGGAGAAGACTATGTTGCATGTCTGCTAGCTTCAGTGGTTGTGGTATAATTTCTTAACCAAATTCAGCTATCGCAACGATTCAGGGGCTTTTTTAAGGTTGTTTGCAGTTTTTCTTCATTTGGGTCACATTTGGCTTTAAAGTGTGCTTTCTATCTGTGTTTTTTCTGTGCACTTTTTTTCTGTTTGAGGTTTTGTTAGTTCTTAGATCCTTGTGTGTTCATACCTTTCAGAACTCAAGATAAATCCAAGCCTTCTCCTATGCCCCACCCCCTGAAACAGGGGCTTCCTGTATCTCTATATTACCAGTGTTAAGGAAAAATGTTTTCAACTTTAAAAATCTTTAGATCTATGCTGCCGAATTTAAAACCTCCTAGCCA